TACATGCAATACAACTCGTAGATTACAAGAAAAACAGTTGAAAAATTGAATTTCATCAACACCGTCAAAAGAGCGTATAAAAATTATTTAGAGAATATCTCGTGAATGGTGAGAGATAGGATGAAAACAAAAATACTATCGCGTAGAGCGGAAAATTCCCTACCGATTTGGTTATTAAATTTAATTCGAGGTAGCACTAATTATAAGTCTAAAAATATAATAAAGTTGAGAGTAAGTAAGACAGAAAGTGCGTGGACAAACAAACATCAATATGCATAAGTACTTATGTACATAACGATGTGTGTTTACTTTCAGTAATTACCTTAAAATTTGTGTTAGTCTCTCCTTGATCAGCTCATAAAACTTCTGTTTGTAATACAATGTATAAGAAATGAGTTTATTTATCTAAAAAGAAACACTAATACTCAATTGAAATTGTCACATTAAAAATATTATCGTTATAATATTTGCAATGTAATTTCAATAACTGTTTTAATTATTAGTATATATTATTAGGTTATACGTTTATCCCATTACACTCTTGTTGTTACATGATTTGACATGTAATCTTTAAAATGTTCATGCAATTACATCTGATGCATGGCTTCAAAACATGACAGCATAAGGAGCAGACAATAATTATCTTGTAACATCCAACCTTCAAATTATCAGCAGCATAGTATAGCAGACGCTCGTACGTGCGCACCTCGATATACCCATGTATATAGCTCTCACTGCTCGCCAAATAAGTTCATGACAATGTGGCAACGTTGCGAGTTCATGTGGGCGTGCCATACCCTTCCAACCCCATTTAGGGGTAGTTTGGAACGTATTTTTAATCGCCTCCCAATTAATAGTATATTACTTACCTAGGGAGGAAAAATAAAGAATGACTCAAATCGTAGGCAACTGACGCCCGAGGCGAAGCCGATAAGCATGCGATCTGAGAGATTCTTTATTTCTTCCCGTGGTTTGTATACGATTTTTCATCAATCTTGCGCCGAGAGAAGGAATTTTCGTTTCGCGAAGCGGGACGAAAGTTCCTACTTTCGGTGCAGTTTGATGAAAAAGCTATTTCCCCTAAGAAATTGATTCCAACGGGGTTCACTTTAAAAATAATCGCTCTACACGATGTTCCCGGGGAATAACACCGATACATATCATCCTGTATAAAAATACCAGTGGGACTTCCCCTTCCTGCATGAACTGCGCGCCAACCCTCTATTAACTGAGTGATAATATAGTATCAGCAGTTAATTACTAAGTAAAAAGTGCTCGTGTCTCCACTTATTTATTTGAAGGTTATTGAACCCATTTCAATTTAATTAAATTAAACTAGTAAAAAAGAAAAACTGACTTAAGGTGAGCTTTACAAATTTAAAACCAGAAAACTATACATTTCTTACCCTTCTGATTCCCCACATGCACATCTCCTTGTAACACTGCACCCTTAAAATGAAATAATTCTACCTGAACATATTATCGAAATTGTTTCTGCTAAAATACCTTGAAATTATAAGGAACTTGCCAAATTGGTTATTAAACACATTTTTTACGGTCCTCATTCTAAAAGATGCCCACGTTCCAATACATACAAAAACAAATTATCAAAAATTTTTTTAAACCATTTGCTTACATAACATAGTAAAAAAAATGGTTATCCCGAACATACCAAAGAAAATAATATTTTTGATAATCACGTGTATAACACTAAGAATAAACATGAAATCACTGTTGACAATGGTAGTATCGCGTAAACAAAATTTTGTTAATGAAATATAGATGCCACATAAACGTTAAATACTGTGCATCTATCCAAAGCATAAAATACATATATACGACTACATTCGTGAAGGTAGTAATGGAGCTTTTATTAAGTTAAAGATTTTAATTTTAATGAAAGATTTTAGAAGTACTGCAATAGGTAAATCAAATACAGTATTATCAAAAGATCATGAACTACTTACTTTTTAATTATTATTGAATAAAAAAAATTGAGCAACTTCATTTGAGAATTTGAAAACATTTAAAAATATAAAATATAAGACATTTCAAGATACTGCGATTACCAAGGTTTTAATCGAGTATGATTTACAAATTGACAGTATTTTGTAAGAGGCTAGTACTTGTATGCTTCATCATTGATTAAGAAAATTTTTTACATGGCTTCGAATATCAGACAGTATAATATCAAGGTAATAGAATTTGGAATAGGTACAAAAAATTTTGAGAGATTTTGTTCAAAATAAAGAAAATTATGCTCTTCTGCACATCAACGAAATTTTTGAACTTGGAGGTAATTAATGTAAATTATTTAATTTACCTGGCCCGTTTGAAACAAATCTACAAAACAATGATGACGCAGAAAAAGTTGCATTCTGTAGACATACGTTCGGTTCAATGTTTGCTTGGATAAACAATAAACAAAAAAATATTTTTAACATTGTATGTGAAACCATTAAGAAGATTTATTTTACACATTGTCCTGAAGTATCAGAAAAAATCTTTTTATACAAAATTAAAAATTGTTACTTCATATCATGAAAAAAAAAAAAAAATTGTTGATGGCATGGACTGACATCGCGTCGGTACAACTACCAAAAAGTACGGATAGTCATAGAACTTTTCCCTTACCCTTGGATTTAAATAATATTGAGCCTGCATTTTTTAATTTTAAATCTAGAGTGAAAAAATTACGAGAAATCGATGTAATGATTTGGGATAAGGCTTCTATGATTTCGAAAAAAATTTTAAAGAAAGAAAACAGAACTTGACGTGATATATGCAATACATGTATACATTTTCAAAATAAATTAACAATTTTAGGAGGAGATTTCCGTCAAACACTTGATGCTACAAAAATGGTAATACAAAAGTGTTTATATCAGAAACTAGTAAGTCATCATTTCTTTGAAGTTCTTTTTACATTTTGAAATTAAATACAAACTTTCGTTCGGCTAGTAAAAATTTTTCTAAATTGCTTTTTGAGATAAAGGATAAACAATAAGTATCACTAATCATTCTTGAAAAATGGAAATTCAATAACGTTTGTTTAGATTCTTACTAAAAATTGTCAATCGTCATTAAATAGTACTATTCTGACCTCTCAGAATTAATACACTATTTTTTTAAACAACAAAATCTTTAATCTAATAAAAGGAAATACGACAAGTTATTATAGCATAGATCATGCCACGTACATAGGTGTTGATAAATCGGGTGTTAACATTTCTAGAAACTTCCTTTTTGACATATTAAATAATATTTGTAAAGCTTTGACACCGTATGAACTAAATTTAAAAGTTAGTGCAATGGTCACGAAAATGAGAAATTTATGTATAGCAGACGGTTTGTGCAACGGCACACAAATAAAAATGAGAAAATTGTCTAAGTATATTTTTAAAGCAAAAATTATCACAAAAGAAAAGAGTATTTCTACTAAAAATCACTTGAAACACAGGTATTACCTCATCGTTACCTTTCATACTTGACAGAAAGCAATTTTCTTTGGTCTTGGCATTCACTATGACAATTCACAAATCTTCTGAAATGAAAATGGCTTTAAATTTTAGGCTTTGTTATCACGTTACTTGCGTCTTTATTATTTCAAAAATTTTACTTTATTTTTAGAAGATAGCATTAACACTTTCAAGGCTGTCACGAATGAAAAAAAAGNAAATCTAGGTGTTTTCTAGTGTAACCAAAAACGTTGATAAATGTTCTTAGGTTTTTTTTTTGGATGAAGCAGACAACTATTGTTTTCGAAAAAACACGTTCTTCGATGAACTACCACTTAAATATTACCTAGGGGGCTATAATTTTGGCTCAAACATTTTTTTAGCATATATTTTCGAGCGGGATATCTGAAATAAAGATTTAAACTAAAGCAGCCTTTAGTCTTATTTTAATACCACCTTAAACACAAAAAAGGTATGAGCTTAGAAGAAAATTAATAATTGTTCTAACTAATAATTAATATTTTGGTGCATTTAGCAACTTCATAAGGGTTAAAATAGTAGTTTTCGTACTATGGGCGCAAAGTACAAACATTTTGCCTGAACGTTGTTTTTCTTTCTTAGGGTGCAAAGTCGTACTTTGTGCCTGTGAGATCACTTTTCACCTGCTAATTATTTGCATTATAGAAACTTTCTTGCTCGTATATGCAAAGTAATTTAAGGGTGCAAATTTGCAATCACTGGGGTGCAAAGACTTTGGGCCTATTATAAGAAAAATAACGTTTTGGATATTTTATTTGGAAATTGGAGTTTTTTTTCTTCAACAAGAGAACTTTGAGCATCTGAAAATATAAATTTCAGGCTCACGTATACTAAAAACAAGGAGCTTACTTGGTGTGAAAGCTTTATTTTATCAATGAATTAACAATATTAATTGTTCTTATTAGTGTTTTCAATTTTCTAAAATCTCGTGTATATGCAAACGAAAGTTTTGCTTGGTTTACATTCTTCTAGGTGACGTGCTAATTGATTTTAAACATCGAGCTCTTGATAATAGTTGAGCATCTCCTGATGCGGCTGAAAATATCAAAGATTAGTATTCAAGAAAGTTCAAATCGTCTAGAAAACCTTAGGTCTCTAAGTGATTTTTATGTACCCCCTTTCCTTGGCCCTTAGTCTAAAACAAATTTTTTCTAGAACCCGTCCGAGTGTAAAAATATGAGGAATTACGTACTAACTTGAAAGTAATGCAAGAAAAAAAAACTGTAAGAAAATATCGTTACATTAGATAAGGTATCAAAATATCAACCAATCACATATCAAGATATTATACATAAGCAACATTTAAGTGTTTGTATCTTTGGAACGAATTATTTTGATATATGTTATGTTTATTTTTGCTAAATTTTAGCGTACTCGGTTGTATTTTTATTGATGAGTTATACAACTGTAAGAAAAGTACATTCTTAATTGTGAATATAACTCATTACTAGCAGTATAGTTTTACTGCACGAGCGTTATTAAAACTTAATTCTTTTTTTTTAGCATATTAACACAACAGTACTAAGGTCTAATACAGAGGTATTGTCAGAACAGTTTAATGCTTCTATAATGGCATATGATGAAGCAATACAATTCAATGATGTTTATCTTGCTGGTCATGTTTGGAGAAGATTGCTTCAATGCAAAAAAAATCCTCCAGAAAATTTAGAACGACTCATTCATTACATTAGAAAACAGGTACAGGGATATTTTAATTTTTAAAGATATCAGACTATAACTTAATAATTACTTTTTTTAGTTGGCCATGTTAAACGGAATACCCAAAGCAGATATTTTTTCGTCATACCCTGACATTACATGGACTCAATTGTAACAAAAAAGTTTTAATAGTATTTCTGTTGTATGTTAATGTATGCATACATAATTTGACTTACATTAACGTATATATGTATTAATTTATTTTAAGTTAATTTCGCACGAACCTATTGATAAACTTGATAACGATTAATTGTTAAATTGTATATGTTTATTTTCCATCGTCCTAGCCTATAAAATAACATAAATGTTAAGAACAAATTTGAATGCGTTATTGGATAATTGCAATAATTAGGAATTAGTTATGAAACACCAAAAAATGTATATTAACTAATCCAATTCTACATTTCCATCAAGATCTCGTACATTAATTTTTCAAACCTTTCGTTATTTTTTTTTTTTTTTTAATTCCTATTGACTTCTACAGGACTTACAAATGATTCAATATAAATGTATTGAAGAAGTAAATACAAATGTAAATACAAATCTTTCTCGTAAGAATAAAAAGCAGTTTATCATTTTATATTAAATAATGGCATTTCTTTATAATATAGTGGTATTGTTCCGTAAAAAGTGAAATTATAATATGACAAATACCAGCTTGAATAACTTAAAATAAATTAAAATGCATATTTACAAATGTTACAAATTATACTTTATAAACTGTTATGATCAGATAAAAATTTTTATTAACGATGAAACAACTAGGTTTTCAATAACTATTTTTGATATATGTTTTAGTGTACATCGTTATTAGTGGAATTCTTTCTGACTGGAGCACAGTGAAATTTCGAAATAAATTCGTTTTTTCCATTTTTCCTCTCTTTTTATAACATAACCTAAAAATTTGATAGTTAATGTATTCTTCAACAACTTTAAATACTCTAAGATCATTAAGTATACTATTTCTTATACATAAACACTATTCGTTATAAAAAATCGTTATTTTAAAGCTAGCCAAATATAATTAAAATAACTTAAAAAAACTATTAAAAAATTTAAAACCTCTTTTGTCTCAATGAAATCAAAAGTAGCTTTAAAAAATCTAGGTGTTTTCTAGTGTAACCAAAAACGTTGATAAATGTTCTTAGGTTTTTTTTTTGGATGAAGCATTTATCTGTACAAGTATGAAAAACTTCTTTAACGAGTAATACATGTCTAGACATAATAACTGTTCGACATTCAAAATTGCTTTTGAGGGAGCAGAACATCAGGAACAGACATACGTGTACATGCATGCGAGAGCTGTGAGCTGCGAGAGCCGACTGCCGAGAGCTTATATAGATGGCAGCCAGTGTTCCTACAAAAAATGCATATATGAAGCTATATAAAGATAAAGCCATGCATATGGATGTATTTCTTTCCCTTTTACTAGGTACCTATCGTACCCACGTTTTGATATTTTCCTCCACTCCTGGAAACGTGCGTGTAGTTCGGCTGGTTCGAAGCGACATGACACTTAAATCAGTGAAAAAAAAGCGACACACTCTCTACTATAGGCACTGGTTATCTTACTACTTATCTTTGGCTATGGAAGTCATCACCAGTAGCCCTACAAAACCACGAAGAGACAGAACATCTTGATACTTAATTTTAAGAAGAAAAACAACAACCAATTAATATTATGATCTGTCTACTTATTACAATTTTGTTTCGTTATAATTTTAAATTTCAATTGTTCTGTATTTGCTCATTATTTTTTATTTCCTTAAAAAATTCGTCTTTCTCTACTACAATGTAGAGATCACCATTATATACAACCATAATTTTCATTAGATAAGATTTTTAGTACAAAATCTTCAAGTTTTCTTCTTTTAAATGATTATTTTTTAAAATTTTACTACGAAAATAAACTAATTTAGCTAAAAGAAATTGAATAAA